GGTTTACACTATCGACTTTATGCAGGCAACTAGGTGTCTCCTTCTCTCTACCTCTCTCTCTCTATCTCTCTCTCTGTCTAGCTCTCTTTCTATATCTATCTCTCTCTCTCTCTTTCTCGCTCTACTATCCTACTTCTGTTGCTTGCAGGGCATCGCGGGTACGGACGTTGCTAAGGAGGCTTCTTACAACCCCTCCTCCTTCCTTACAACAACTAACCTCCTTCCTTACTGCTAACCTCCTCCTCCTGTTGCTTGCAGGGCATCGCGAGTACGGACGTTGCTAAGGAGGCTTCTTACAACCCCTCCTCCTTCCTTACAACCCCTCCTCCTTCCTTACAACAACTAACCTCCTCCTCCTCATGCTTGCAGGGCATCGCGGGTACGGACGTTGCTAAGGAGGCTTCGGACATCATCCTCACCGACGACAACTTCAGCAGCATCGTGAAGGCGGTCATGTGGGGCCGCAACGTCTACGACAGCATCTCCAAGTTCCTGCAGTTCCAGCTGACGGTCAACGTCGTCGCCGTCGTCGTCGCCGTCACCGGCGCCCTTATCATCAATGTGAGTCCGCGCGCGCTGACCGGTAGCTGATCGTTAGTTGACCTGTAGTTGATCGTTAGCTGACCGGTGGCTGACCAATCTTTTCTAACGACCGGTCCCGTAGTGACCATTGTCGACCCTACTGACCGTCGCCCACCCCACTGTGACCACTGTGCCCCCCTTGTGTTTGCAGGACAGCCCGCTGAAGGCGGTGCAGATGCTGTGGGTGAACCTGATCATGGACACGCTGGCGTCTCTACTGACCGTCGTCCACCCCACTGACCACTGTGCCCCTCCTTGTGTTTGCAGGACAGCCCGCTGAAGGCGGTGCAGATGCTGTGGGTGAACCTGATCATGGACACGCTCGCGTCTCTCGCGCTAGCCACCGAGCTGCCGCACGAGGACCTGTTGAAGCGCAAGCCGTACGGCCGCATGAAGCCGCTGATCTCGCGAACGATGACGAAGAACATCCTCGGGCACGCCTTCTACCAGCTCATCATCGTCTTCACGCTCATCTTCGCCGGTGAGCGCGCCAGCTGGTGCCGGGGGGCACAATGTACAATGTTGTAGAATGTTGTAGAATGTTGCTCGGTGTTGTACAATGTTGTAGATTGTTGCTCGGTGTTGTACAATGTTGTAGAATGTTGCTCGGTGTTGTACAATGTTGTAGAATGTTGTAGAATGTTGCTCGGTGTTGTACAATGTTGTAGAATGTTGCTCGGTGTTGTACAATGTTGTAGAATGTTGCTCGGTGTTGTACAATGTTGTAGAATGTTGCTCGGTGTTGTACAATGTTGTACGAATGTTGCTCGGTGTTGTACAATCTTGTAGAATGTTGCTCGGTGTTGTACAATCTTGTAGAATGTTGCTCGGTATTGTACAATGTTGTAGAATGTTGCTCGGTTAGGGGGAGAAGAACATCCTCGGGCACGCCTTCTACCAGCTCATCATCGTCTTCACGCTCATCTTCGCCGGTGAGAGCGCCACCTGGTGCCGGGGGCACAATGTACAATGTTGTAGAATGTTGCTCGGCNCGATGGCCGCTACGCGCCGATCCACGCGCCGCCGTCGCAGCGTGTTGTACAATGTTGCCGAAATGTTGTAGAATGTTGCTCGGTGTTGTAGTCGTCAATGTCGAACAGCTTGTGCCCTGAAACAGCCGTGCAACAATGGGATCGGCGCGTAGCGGCCACGCGCCGCCGTCGCAGCAACTTCACGATCATCTTCAACGCGTTTGTCATGATGACGCTGTTTAACGAGATCAACGCGCGCAAGATTCACGGCGAGCGCAACGTGCTCGAGGGCATCCTTGGCAACCCCATCTTCTACGGCATCTGGATCGGCACG